TACTTTGCTCAGTTCATCTTTCCCTCGATCCTGATTAGTCTCCCAGTCCCTGCCGCTGAAAAACATCCCTACAGCATGAGGCTTCCACCACCATGCTTCACCGTAGGGATGGTGCCATGTTTCCTCCAGACGTGACGCTTGGCATTCAAGCCAAAGAGTTCAATCTTGGTTTCATCAGACCAGAGAATGTTGTTTCTCATGGTCTGGGAGTCTTTAGGTGCCTTTTGGCAAACTACAAGCGGGCTGTCATGTGCCTTTTACTGAGGAGTGGCTTCCGTCTGGCCACTCCACCATAAAGGCCTGATTGGTGGAGTGCTGCAGAGATGGTTGTCCTTCTGGAAGGTTCTCCCATCTCCACAGAGGAACTCTGGAGCTCTGTCAGAGTGACCATCGGGTTCTTGAACACCTCCCTGACGAAGGCCCTTCTCTCCCGATTGCTCAGTTTGGCCGGGCGGCCAGCTCTAGGAAGAGTGTTGGTGGCTCCAAACTTCTTCCATTTAAGAATGATGGAGGCCACTGTGTTCTTGGGGACCTTCAATGCTGCAGAAATGTTTTGCTACCCTTCCCTAGATCTGTGCCTCGACACAATCCTGTCTCGGAGCTCTATGGACAATTCCTTCGACCTCATGGCTTGGTCTTTGCTCTGACATGCACTGTCAACTGTGGGACCTTATATAGACAGGTGTGTGCCTTTCCAAATCATGTCCAATCAATTGAATTTACCACAGGTGGACTCCAATAAAGTTGTAGAAACATCTCAAGGATGATCAATGGAAACAGGATGCACCTGAGCTCAATTTCGAGTCTCATTGCAAAGGGTCTGAATATTTATGCAAATAAGTTATCTGTTTTTTATTTGTAATACATTTGCAAAAACGTATAAAAACCTGTTTTTCGCTTGGTCATTATGGGGCATTGTGTGTAGATTGATGAGGAAAATGTTTTATTTAATCAATTTTAGAATAAGGCTGTAATGTAACAAAATGTGGAAAAAGTCAATGGGTCTGAATACTTTTCGAATGCACTGTAGATTCTTGGGTTGCTTCAACCAGTTTTTGCCCAGTGGGGAGAGGGTTGGGGTGATTTTTCAAATACAGTGAGGAACTATTGTCATTCGCAATGGATGTAAAACACTCTGTTGACTGTGTGTGGTGATGAAAATAATACTTTGAGAAGTTCCGCAGCTCATGAGTGGTGGTGAGTTAAGTCAATCAGAAATACTAGGCTATCAGACATCCCCAGATGGTAACCTTTATAGGCCTACATTTGCGCACAGGACAGGTACTTCTACGCGTGCTCAAGCAAAATATCCTTTATAAAAAAATAAAAAACATTAACAAACAAAGGGCAAACAATTCACACAATGAATGCACATGAATTAGTGGGAGACAGAGAGTGCATTCTGGAGAGAGATGCGCCTATAGTGAGTCTTCGCCACACACCCCTTCCCTTCTTCTTGTGTCAACATTTTAAATTAGGGATGTCATTTATGACAGGTCCAGAACAGAGGCTGGGAAACGCACAGTATTAAATAGAGCCATGACTACATGGAACTCTCTACCACCCCAGGTAACTCAAGCTAGCAATAAAACCAGATAAAAAAATCAGATAAAAGAACACCTTATGGCATGACAGGGACTGTGAAGAGAGACATTTTTATTTATATGTATTGTATTTTGCATTGTATTATGTGGTAGTGTTGTGTATATTAAGTATTTTATTTGTTGTGTTTTGTTTCCTGTTTGGACCCCAGGAAGATGGGATAATTGGGGATCTTAATAAAATACTAAGCTGTAGTGTAGGTAGCAGCTCATAGAGCAGGTGCCTATCTCCTGTTTCTGTAGCGTGAGGCAGCTTGATGTAAAAGTACACCTCATGGACAGGACGCTAGTCTATCGCAGGGCCTTACCCACAATCTATCTCCTAGTGTAGACAACAACTAAATTATTTTAGATAGGCCTACAACAGAAAATGCATGTGAAACATAAATGTTCACTGCCTGCCAGACAAGTCAAAACAATTCTGCTGGCTTGCACAGCAATAAAGCTTCATTTTTAATATTTCGGATCAATTTGGGTCCGATACAGACCCAACCCAATTTGGATCCGATTCTCCCTCATCTCTGACATATTTTGGGTTGGATCTGGTCCACCTCGGATCCGAATCAGATATTGATTTTCAAAGAAATAACCGGGTCCTGTCGGTGTCGGATGGGAATTTCACTGATCCAATTCGGTTCGGATCTCAATTTCAGGATCCGAGAAGACCTCTAATAGTAACCTCCCTTCAACCATACATTTATTTCTTCATCAAATGATAAAGCTGTTAACAGAAAGTTATGACTGGATGGATAAATCAATAAATAGGATATACAGTATTAATAAATGGATAGATAAAGTAAGGACACAGGATGAAATACCTATTGGATGAAGGGATGAATGCAAAGATAAGTTATGGAATATGGATGAATGGACATTTTCGGTCAAATGGGAGTTGTGAATGTGTTGTGTAAGTCAGTATGTCCTTCTTTACTCCACACAAAGAATGTTTGAAATCAAAAGAAAGTCGTCTACAATCCTACTTCCGTGGTAAATATAGAAATGTTAGAAAATTCCTTGGTTCTAGTGGGTGGCGAGCACAGAATTTCACATCAGCGCCGCCAGCTGGATGGGGGTTTACTACTGTGTAAGGCAGCCTACAGATGAGTACTAAAGATAAACGATAACTACACGTAGAAAAGCAGTGGTAGGTTAGTTTAGTGGGTTGGAGTGAGCTGTGTGGCATAATAGGTCTTATGTGCATTGTTATAATTTGAAGGTTCTGAAAAGTTCCATGGCAGTTAATTCAACAGTGGGAAGTTAGCTAAATTAGGTGATGCGGTTACTAAAACAGCTGTACCTCTTGATTGGTAGTAGATAATTCTGTTCTGATTCCATATTTAAATAGCAAAGAAGTAGAACAAGATGTCATACCCTTTAGGTCTTTGTGAGTATGCATAGCAATGGCTCTGTTTCGGCTGCTCAATGATGAGACATGAGCTAGCTTATTTCCGTCAATAAACTCCTACAAACAGCTGTCACTTTTTGTTAGTAGAAGACAATTCTGACCGATTCCAGATTTGAATAGCAGAGAAGTAGAGGAAGAGTTAATTCGCTAGAAGTTGTCTGACTTGTTGGGGGAGTTCTTTAGAAAAAGTTGGAAAAAATGTTTTAATGCAGTTCCTAAAACAGCTGTACTGTTAGATCTGTAGTGGATATTTTTGTTCAGCAAACAGATTTGAATAGCAGAGATGAAGACGAAGATGTCATAGCCTCCAACGTTTTGTCTAACCTGTTTGGAAAGTACCAGGGATACCAATATCCCTGTAAGCCTCCTTGGCCCATGTTGTGTAAAATTGTGGATTAATAATATTACATTGTATTGCACCCTCTAAACCTTTTCCACAGATCCCTTGTCCAAAATTAGTTTGATCTGTTTTTGCTATTTAACCACACAAACACACACACACACACACACACACACAACCGATCAAAGGTTTTAGAACACCTACTCATTCAAGGGTTTTTCTTTATTTTTACAATCTTCTACATTGTAGATTAATAGTGAAGACATCAAAACTATGAAATAACACATATGGAATCATGAAGTAACCAAAAAAGTGTTAAACAAATCAAAATATATTTTATATATATTAACAGGTGTGCCTTCTTAAAAGTTAATTTGTGGAATTTCTTTCCTTCTTAATGCATTTGAGCCAATCAGTTGTGGTGTGACAAGGTAGGGGGGTATACTGAAGATAGCCCTATTTGGTAAAAGACCAAGTCCATATTATGGCAAGAACAGCTCAAATAAGCAAAGAGAAACAACAGTCCATCATTACTTTAAGACATGAAGGTGAGTCATTATGGAACATTTCAAGAACTTTGAAAGTTTCTTCAAGTGCAGTCGCAAAAACCATCAAGCGCTATGATGAAACTGGCTCTCATGAGGACCGCCACAGGAATGGAAGACCCAGAGTTACCTCTGCTGCAGAGGATAAGTGTATTAGAGTTACCAGCCTCAGAAACTGCAGCCCAAATAAATGCTTCACAGAGTTCAAGTTACAGACACATCTCAACATCAACTGTTCAGAGGGGACTGTGCAAATCAGGCCTTCATGGTCAAATTGCTGCAAAGAAACCACTGCTAAAGGACACCAACAAGAAGAGACCTGCTTTAGCCAAGAAACACGAGCAATGGACATTAGACCGGTGTATTTCCCACCGTAAAGCATGGAGGAGGTGGTGTTATGGTGTGGGGGTGCTTTGCTGGTGACACTGTCTGTGATTTATTTAGAATTCAAGGCACACTTAACCAGCATGGCTACCACAGCATTCTGCAGCGATACGCCATCCCATCTGGTTTGTGCTTAGTGGGACTATCATTTGTTTTTCAACAGGACAATGACCCAACACACCTCCAGGCTGTGTAAGGACTATTTTACCAAGAACGAGAGTGATGGAGTGCTGCATCAGATGACCTGGCCTCTACAATCCCCCGACCTCAACCAAATTGAGATGGTTTGGGATGAGTCAGACCGCAGAGTGAAGGAAAAGCAGCCAACAAGTGCTCAGCATATGTGGGCACTCCTTCAAGACTGTTGGAAAAGGATTCCAGGTGAAGCTGGTTGAGAGAATGCCAAGAGTGTGAAAAGCTGTCATAAAGGCAAAGGGTGGCTATTTGAAGAATCTCAAATATATTTTGATTTGTTTAACACTTTTTTGGTTACTACATGATTCCATATGTGTTATTTCATAGTTTTGATGTCTTCACTATTATTGTACAATGTCAAAAATAGTAAAAATAAAGAAAAACCCTTGAATGAGTAGGTGTGTCCAAACTTTTGACTGGTACTGTGTATATATATATATATATATATATCTGGCCGAAGACCCCCTGCAGTACCTGCGCGGACACCTGACCCCACTTTGGGAACCCCTGGACTATGTCATGAGGAAAACCTACTCGTATTGGCTTGTGTAGATGAACTTCATGAGTATGAGCTCCTGCATGTGCTCATGGAAGATGTCCTCCAGTGTCCTCCCCCACTCCTCCTCCAGCCACGTCCGGAACTCCTGCCAACAGAACAGAACACGGTCATGCCCACTTACCGATTTGCCCCAATCCCCTATTGAAATCAAATGTCATTACAGTATCTATCCTGTTACAATGCATAGCAGTCACTCTTGCCTGCTTGACCATTATTTACCATGTGCTGAACAAATTAATTCAACATAAATCTTAGACAAATGTTACACTTTCAGTATGATAGGAGCTTTGAGGTTAAATGTGTTTGCAAAAAGTGCTAAACAGATATGTGATTGATGAATTAATTTGACAAATACACAGTTGCCTCAGCTATGTGAGAACAATATACAAACTGTTGCGAAATGACAAGAGACCGTTCTCACCTCCTGCCTCCCCCCTGGCATGCGGTGATGGTCTGTCTGGTTGCACTTGGTCGAGAACTCGTCCTTCTTCCCAGTCTGGAAATAAGAGAAGACATCCCAGCTTTTCTCACAAAGCCATGGAAGACAGGGGACTACTTCACCACACAGTGAGTGCACCGACTTACACATTACAAAAGGATAAGATCAGTAATGAGTATGACTATTTAAGCACAATAAGCCCATCATTATCTCCCTTATTATCGATTAATCAGTTTCCACCACGTCATCCCTTGTGTTGTCTGTCTCACCTAACAGTCCCTCTTATGGGCACTACAGAGTTAGAAAAGCTAGAGCAACAACAACTTGTGACAAAAGGCATGCAACATTTTAAAGTAGTCGACTGGGTGGGACTTGCTGGTTCAAAGAATGCCATCCAGGTCAGTAGGTCAGTCAAAATATACTCCTGAGCAAACATTAAAGGGGCTATCCCAGTTGCTACATACATTTTTTGACATAAATGAATGATGCAGTATATACACTAATTGATTAGAATAGAACTTATAAATGCCTCGCAAGCTTAGTTCAAATGTCGAACCCCATCAGAACCCAAAATATCAGCTTGTTTAACTCCAATGTTTGTAAACATAAACAAACACTGTATAGCCTCAAAATATGCTTAACACTATCATTTTGATATTGTGGATGGTCAGTCCTTGCATCAATAGCTCATTATGAATTTAAGAGTGGTTACATTTCTCCAGGCCCATCCCTCAGATTTTTGCCAACTGCAGATTGCTCCTCTAAAAAGAACTGCAGGTGGCAGTACAATAAATCACCAACGTTGGTTTTACGCCCATTCAAAACACAAAAGAAGGAGAAAATGGACTCACCTGGACGTCCCCCTTGTGAGGGCCCTTGTGTCCGTACATACACTCCACTGCTGCCTTGTTGCTCTCCCACATGTGGATGCGGAAGAGTGGCCGCCGCCTCATGGGATCCTCGACCCGAGGGTCGTGGGGGGGCAGGTACATCCAGCCAAGGATGAACAGCCCGTCAACCTGGAGAGGGATGGGTATGGTAGCGGAGTAATGGGATAATGTTTTAGTTTTTTTAAGTCATCACCACCTAACACAAATAATATGTTTTGATGGGAAAAGACACACTCATTTTTGTCCCTCTCTACAACCAGGTGTGCTGAACAATTTAAAGACAAATTTTTTTTAAAAATGTGATAAAGAGGGGACACAATAGTGTGTGTACTGATTACGTACCACCACGTTGAGCAGCCCTCCGTATGGGCCTATGTCAGGCTGCCAAAGACCCAGGATGTGTCTGTATGGGTGCAGCACTGCAACACAACAGGACAGTGCAACAAAGGGTTAAACACTAAAAGAGTGGTGAACAGTTCAATCGCAGGGCATCACAGCAATACATAACAGAATTTGGACTGACAACTCAACACACCATATCACCATGGACGAGATCTGGCCTCACCTCAAGGATAGCAGATATGGCAGAGGGGACACATTGTTATTGTACTCACATGAGAAGATGCGTTGAAGTTATATGAAGGGAATGGTCTCCATTGTTCCAAAAGAGTGCATGATGTAGACAAATTAAACAGGGAGCTGTCACCAAGCACTAACTATGTTGACTAGCATGCTAAATGCACACATCACACATACTGTAACTTTTTTCAGTACCATTTCTAGTAGTCAGATGTCTGAGTTAAGGTAAGGAGCAAAGTGCATTCACTTCAAAACCACATCACACAGTCAGCAAACACATGGTATTTGGTATTTGTCACAACCGGCTGCAACAACATAAAACAAGTGCACATTGGAGTCTGTCACACACTAGCACACGCGTGTCGAGACAGTCAGGTCAGCCATGTGCAGCAGGACACACAGCGCCTGTACACGTCCCTGTAGTCCATGTGCTCATAGTCTTGTAGGAGCTTCATAAAGCGGCCAGACTTCACCAAAAGGTTCACACCTGGACAGGTACACCACAACAGTGGGCAGACTAATCAATATGCTCTTGGAGATTAGTGAATATACAAACAAAATAAATACATACACACACTACCATTCAAAAGTTTGGGGTCACTTAGAAATGTCCTTGTTTTCCATGAAAACATACATGAAATTAGTTTGAATAGGAAATATAGCAAAATATAGTCATTGACAAGGTTAGAAATAATTATTTTTAATAGAAATAATAATTGTGTCCTTCAAACTTTGCTTTTGTCAAATAATTCTCCATTTGCAGCAATTACAGCCTTGCAGACCTTTGGCATTCTAGTTGTCAATTTGTTGAGGTAATCTGAAGAGATTTCACCCCATGCTTCCCGAAGCACCTCCCACAAGTTGGATTGGCTTGATGGGCACTTCTTACGTACGGTTGAGATCCGGTGACTGTGCTGAACACTCCATTATAGACAGAATACCAGCTGACTGCTTCTTCCCTAAATAGTTCTTGCATAGTTTGGAGCTGTGCTTTGGGTCATTGTCCTGTTGTAGGAGGAAATTGGCTCCAATCAAGCGCCGTCCACAGGGTATGGCATGGCATTGCAAAATGGAGTGATAGCATTCCTTCTTCAATATCCCTTTTAACCTGTACAAATCTCCCACTTTACCACCACCAAAGCACCCCCAGACCATCACATTGCCTCCACCATGCTTGACAGATGGCATAAATAATAATAATAATATGCCATTTAGCAGACGCTTTTATCCAAAGCGACTTACAGTCATGCGTGCATAATTTTTTTTTGTGTATGGGTGGTCCCGGGGTTCGAACCCACTACCTTGGCGTTACAAGCGCCGTGCTCTACCAGCTGAGCTACAGAGGACCACATCAAGCACTCCTCCAGCATCTTATCATTTGGTCTGCGGCTCACAAATGTTCTTCTTTGTGATCCGAACACCTCAAACTTCGATTCGTCTGTCCATAACACTTTTTTCCAATCTTCCTCACTCCAGTGTCTGTGTTTTTTTGCCCATCTTAATCTTTTCTTTTTATTGGCCAGTCTGAGATATGGCTATTACTTTGAAACTATGCCTAGAAGGTCAGCATCCCGGAGTCGCCTCTTCACTGTTGACGTTGAGACTGGTGTTTTGCGGGTACTATTTAATGAAGCTACCAGTTGAGGACCTGTGAGGCGTCTGTTTCTCAACTAGAAACTCTAATGTATTTGTCCTCTTGCTCAGTTGTGCACCGAGGCCTCCCACTCCTCTTTCTATTCTGGTTAGAGACAGTTTGCGCTGTTCTGTGAAGGGAGTAGTACACAGCGTTGTACGAGATCTTCAGTTTCTTGGCAATTTCTCACATGGAATAGCCTTCATTTCTCAGAACAAGAATAGACTGACGAGTTTCAGAAGAAAGTTCTTTGTTTCTGGCCATTTTGATTCTGTAATCAAACCCACAATTGCTGATGCTCCAGATACTCAACTAGTCTCAAGAAGGCCAGTTTTATTGCTTCTTTAAAATCAGCACAACAGTTTTCAGCTGTGCTAACATAATTGCAAAAGGGTTTTGTAATGATCAATTAGCCTTTTAAAATGATAAACTTGGATTAGCAAACCCAACGTGCCATTGGAACACAGGACTGATGGTTGCTGATAATGGGCCTCTGTACGCCTATGTAGATATTCCATTAAAAATCTGCAGTTTCCAGATACTATAGCCATTTACAGCATGAACAATGTCTACACTGTATTTCTGATCAATTTGATGTTATTTTAATGGACCAAAAAAATGCTTTTCTTTTGAAAACAAGGACATTTCTAAGTCACCCCAAACTTTTGAACGGTGCGTTCAGAATAGTATTCAGACCCCTTGACTTTTCCACATTTTGTTACGTTATAGCCTTATTCTAAAATTGATTAAATACGTTTTTCCACCCTCATTAATCTACACACAATACCCCATAATGACAAAGCAAAAACAAGTTTTTAGAAATGTTGGCAAATTTATTGAAAATAAAACTCTGAAATATCACATTTACATAAGTATTCAGAACCTTTACTCAGTACTTTGTTGAAGCACCTTTGGCAGCGATTACAGCCTCAAGTCTTCTTGGGTATGACGCTACAAGCTTGGCACACCTGTATTTGGGGAGTTTCTCCCATTCTTCTCTGCAGATCCTCTCAAGCGCTGTCAGGTTGGATGGGGTGCGTCGCTGCACAGCTATTTTCAGGTCTCTCCAGAGATGTTCGATCGGGTTCAAGTCCGGGCTCTGGCTGGGCCACTCAAGGACATTCAGAGACTTGTCCCGAAGCCACTCCTACATTGTCTTGGCTGTGTGCTTAGGGTTGTTGTCCTGTTAGAAGGTGAACCTTCGCCCCAGTCTGAGGTCCTGGACGCTCTGGAGCAGGTTTTCATCAAATATCTCTCTGTACATTGCTCTGTTCATCATTCCCTCGATCCTGACTAGTCTCCCTGTCCCTGCCGCTAAAAAACATCCCCACAGCATGATGCTGCCACCATCATGCTTCACCGTAGGGATGGTATTGGCCAGGTGATGAGCGTTGCCTGGTTTCCTCCAGACATGACACTTGGCATTCAGGCCAAAGAGTTCAATCTTGGTTTCATCAGACCAGAGAACGTTGTTTCTCCTGGTCAGAGTCCTTTTAGGTGCCTTTTGGCAAACTCCAAGCGGGCTGTCATGTGCCTTTTACTGAGGAGTGGCTTACGTCTGGCCTGATTGGTGGAGCACTACAGAAATGGTTGTCCTTCTGGAAGGTTCTCCCAGTTCCACAGAGGAACTCTGGAGTTCTGTCAGAGTGACCATCGGGTTCTTGGTCACCTCCCTGACCAAGGCCCTTCTCCCGATTGCTCAGTTTGGCCGGGCGGCCAGCTCTAGGAAGAGTCTTGGTGGTTCCAAACTTCTTCCATTTAAGAATGATGGAGGCCACTGTGTTCTTGGGGACCTTCAATGCTGCAGAAATGTTTTGCAACCCTTCCCCAGATCTGTGCCTCGACACAATCATGTCTCTGAGCTCTAGGGGCAATTCTTTCTACCACATGGCTTGGTTTTTGCTCTGACATGCACTGTCAACTGTGGGACCTTATATAGACAGGTGTGTGCATTTCCAAATCATGTCCAATCAATTAAAATTTACTACAGGTGGACTCCAAACAAGTTGTAGAAACATCTCAAGGATGATCAATGGAAACAGGATGCACCTGCATTGAATCTCATAGCAAAGGGTCTGAATACTTATGTAAATAAGGTTTCCATATTTTTTAATTCCTATAAACCTATTTTTGCTTTGTCATTATGAGGTATTATGTATAGATTGATGAGGATTTTTATTTATTTAATCAATTTTCGAATAAGGCTAACATAAGAAAATGTGGAAAAAGTGAAGGGGTCTGAATACTTTCCGAATGCACTGCATGTATGTATGTATGTATGTATGTATGTATGTATGTATGTATGTATGTATGTATGTATGTATGTATGTATGTATACAGTACCAGTCAAAAGTTTGGACACATTCAAGGGTTTTTCTTAATTTTTTACTATTTTCTACATTGTATAATAATAGTGAAGACATCAAAACTATGAAATAACACATATGGAATCAAGTAGTAACCAAAAAAAGTGTTAAACAAATCAAAATATATTTCATATTTAAGATTCTTCAAAGTAGCCACCCTTTGCCTTGATGACAGTTTTGCACACTCTTGGCATTCTCTCAACCAGCTTCATGAGGTAGTCACCTGGAATGCATTTCAATTAACAGGTGTGCCTTCCTTCTTAATGTGTTTGAGCCATTAAGTTGTGTTGTGACAAGGTAGGGTTGGTATACAGAAGATAGCCCTATTTGTAAAAGACCAAGTCCATATTATGCCAAGAACAGCTCAAATAAGCAAAGAGAAACGACAGCCCATCATTACTTTAAGACATGAAGGTCAGTCAATCTGGAATATTAAGAACTTTGAACGTTTCAGAGTTCTCTGCTGCAGAGGATAAGTTCATTAGTTACCAGCCTCAGAAGTTGCAGCCCAAATAAATGCTTCAGAGTTCAAGTAACAGACGCATCTCAAC